GGCAGAACTTTCAGCATTCTGTTGGTGGGAGAAGATACTATGCATTGTTCCTGATTTAAGGGGGAAAATACTGAGTCTTTCACCATTAAGTATAACTATAATGCTAGCTGTAAGTTTTTAGGTGTTGTCAAGCTTAGGAAGTTCCCCTCTGTTCCTGTTTTTCTGAGAGTTGTTCTTCATAAATTTAATTTTGTCAAATGCTTTTTTGCATCAGCTGATATGGGCCTATGATTTTTTTCTTCTTCATTCTTAAATTGGCTGGATTACACTGACTAACTTTAGATATTGAACTAGCTTTACATTCCTAGAATAAACCCACTTGGTCATGGTATACAATTCCTTTTATTTCTGAAGGCTATTTGATAGTATTTTATTAATAATCCTTACATGCATATTCACAAGATATATCAGTCTTCAGTTTTCCTATTTTGTATAGCCTTTCTCTGGTCTCAGTATTAAAGTCATACCAGATTCATAAAGTGAATTGGGAAATGTTCTCCTCCTCTTCTATTTTCTGGAAGAGATTGTATGAAAATTTTTGTAAATTTTTCTTTAAATGCTTGGTAGAATTTGCCAGTGAAACCGTCTGGGACTGGAGATCATTTAGAATAGAAGAGGGTTTTTATTTATTGCAAATTCAATTTCCGTAAAAGTTGTGGAGGTATTTAAATTATCTATTTCATACTAAGGATGTTTTTGGACTCCACAGACCACAAAAGGTAAGTCATGTGAGAGACATGGGGAAGTTTCTAAAAGAAACTCCATTTGTTCTGTAGACGCACAAAAAGCTCCAGAAGTAATACAGAAGACACATCTGAAGTGGGGTAAACTTGGGGTCAAAACCAGCAGAACTGGTGGGAAGTCTGTGTGTGGAGCAGCGAGGCCCCAACCACCCTCTCTTGCTTCAACCAAAGACGGTGCTATCCTCTGAAGTGGATAAAACAGAAGTCTCTGGACTGAGAGAACTAACTACAATGAAGGGCCAGAGTAATACACTGAGAACCGGGGCTAAACATAAATTCAGATATTTAATGCCAAGGTCCCCGCTTTCTGCCCCCTTGGTTCCTACATGTTGGAATCAGAAGAGCCTCCCTGAGAAATCAGAGTAGTCCCAAACCAAACCCAGAGACATCATCAGACAGCGAGACGGACCAGCACATCTCTTTCCAATTCAGCTCACAGTGCTTTTTCTTAAAAGAAGAACAAACAAGGGTCACCAGAAGTCACAGAAAAGTCTCGAATGTGAATCAAGAAATGTTTAAATAAATAAATAAATAAATAAATAAACGAACAAGCCAGAAAACAGCAATTTGGAAGGAACTAAGACTATAAGATGAAAAGAAACCTCTATGGCTCTGTGGCTCCCCACCTGGAATTTGTGTCCTCAGAGATTAAAAAAAGAATCAGGCAGGGACAGACCCCAATTTTTAAAAATTCAAGGAAAAGAAATTATCTCAGAAAAAAAAAATAGAGAGAATACTTAGTAGGAAATATTTAGTAAAATAGTTTGAAAATAAGTGTAGGTTGATCTCCCAGAAAGCATGGCAAATGGACAACAAGAAAATTTGAAGAGCTAATGTTCAAATAATTTGAGTTTCAACAACAACAAAAATAGAGGAAAGCAAAGAATAAATCATCCAATAAATAATTCAAAACTGAAGGGAGTGAGTTTTCATAGTAAAGGGTCCATTAAGTGCCAGATACCGTGGATAAAAATGGACCCACACCAAGGCACGATAGTATGACATTTCAGAACACTGGGGGCAGACAAACACTTTCATATGTATCTAGAGAAGAAGAAAAAAAGTATAGAGATTCTGAATGCTGTCAGATTTCTCAATAAACACCACTTGGTGTTAGCAGCAATGTCCTTAAATTTCTCAGGGAAAATTATTCCTGCATAATCACACACTTGGAAAAATCATCATCCAAATTTAAGGGGAAAGACATTGTCACATACTAGGAAGTTCCTGGAGAATGTACTCCATAAAAACAAGCAGGAACTAAGAGAAAGGAAGAGAGGTGATCAGGAAACAGGAGCTGGAACACAGGAAAGAGGCAAACGACACTAGCAGGAGGTCAGAAAACGAGATTCCAGCCTGCTCCTTGAGTTCTTCGCCAGAGATCAGCTAGTGCAGCTCAGGACCATTTAGAATTCTTCAGGAGAGGGATAACAGAAAAGATGGATGTGAATGAAATATGTGAAGTGAAAATTAAAATGATTTTTTTTTCTGAGTAAGGCTCTTTACATTTGCCTACAAATCAGCCTTCTTCTTCAACATACTTGCACTACTTTCTCATATGCTGTTCTCCAAGCATAAAAACCTTTCCTTTCGTGCTCCAAGGCCTTTGCATGTGCTGATCCCAATATCTGATTGGGGGTGGGGGCAGGGTCCTAGAACTCACCTCTTCACATGAGTGACCTTCTCTCAACAGTAAATCATTTCTCAGTGATTGGAATCAGAAAGGCCTCCCTGAGAAATCAGGGTAGCCCTGAACAGAGGGCTTCCCTTACCACCTAATCCCCCCACTTGACACAATTTTTAACTCTATGTAATTGGAAGCTTCCTTTTGTTTATCATCTTTCTTGCTAGACTGAATGAACCATGCAGAAAGGATTCACAAGTGTTAAAGTCCTTACCCACATCAAAGAGTAGAAAGAAGACTTGGAGCTGGAGACCTAGAGGAAGGACTTGTGGAGATTTCATTGAGAAAGTTATGTTGTGAGCCTCACCCTGCCCCATCCAGAGCAGAAGGGATGACTCTGCTAACTCCAAACCAAGAGGAAAAAACTTCAGGGACATGGCTCAAATATGTTTCCCCTGCAGACTATTGGTGTATAATTCACACCTGAGAAACTTGATAGCTGAGAAACCAGCTGCAGCAGCCCTTGTAAGCAGAGTAAGCGCGTCTGTGCTGGCTCCCTGAACTTCGACAGTGTGTTTAGCAATGTGTGCATGTGGGTTTCTTGTGCTCCAGAGATGGGTGGGCCATATGCAAGAAAGAGTCAGTGTGGAGTTGTCTCAGGAACTCACCAGAGCAGCCACCAAGGGTGGATACAGGTAAATAAGCAGAATATGCCTACCTGGCCAGAAGCTCAGGAAAGAGTAGTATTGCCAAGACAAAGTGTTTAGAACAGCGTAAGTCAAGGGAACTGGAGGCAAGAGATCCCAAGAGATTTGGGAGGGCAGGGGCAGCATCTTAGAAAAATCCATCCAAGTGCTCACAGTAGCCAGCTTTAAACACCTGCCAAACCAGAGCACACCCGTGCTTGCTCACAATGGTAAAATCCAGCCCCTTCCCTCTCCTTCTGACCAAATCTTCCTTTCTGAATAGGTGCAGAAAAGACAAGAAGCTGTGCGATTGGCCCTTCCTTATCCACAGCGTTTCCATCAGTAGCACAGCCCACCTGGGAGAGAGAAGGCATGAATTCACACACATTCTACGACATGACACTTGGCAAAAGGATGTTTCAAGCACAGTCAACATCATTTCAAAAAATGATCAAATAATAAATAAACATGTAAGTATTTTGGTTGAACGATAAGAGGATGAATATGATCATTCATAGCCCTTAATGTATTCCTCTAAATTCTTCTTTTTAAAACAAAGACAAGTATATAATATAAAAAAAAAAACTCAACAAAGACAAATGCAAACAAACCCCACTCCTTTCCACTATAACCCTATTGTTTAGTTGCAAATTATTCATATTCTCCAGACTTGGGAGGTTAAAAGGCACCAAAGTCCTACCTTCCCTACTTTAATTTCTAGCTGAACACTTCCCAGCAGTCAGAAGGAACTTATGCTCAACCTAGGAATCTCCTGCTCCTCTGGTCCACAGGTGCGTGGCCCTCCCTTGGCAGGCCTCAGCAGGATAAGTACATCCCACTATTGCACCATTGTGCTTCTATACAGCATTGCTCACCTAGAACAGCAGGGCCTTTACTTCCTCACCACTGTGAAAACATGAGGAAGCACACAAACTGCTTTGTCATCCCAAGACATAAATTTTCATTATGTATAATTTGAGGCTTCTTTGCTATTTGTCTCCCTGGACTGTAAGAACCACGTGGACAGGATCTGCATTAGTTGAATTCATGAATTGTTAAACTCCTTACATGTAACAGGGGTAGAAAGAGGGTCTGGAGCCAGAGACCTAGAGGAAGGACTAAATTTCATTGAGAAAGTTCATCGGGTTCAGTTCGATAACCATTTATTGAAGGATTAAGGAGACTAGAGGACATACTTGGTCGTAAAACAGTAGTCTTGTTGAAATCTAAACGAGGGCCTAAATGTCTGCTCTATACCTCGAGACTAATCAGTGATAAACAATTTACTCTTTCACCTGACAACATCTTAAATCTGAAGAATGGCTGCCGAAACCTTGGAGTCTTCTTTTGTCCAGGACCAGCACATCCAGCTTCATCAACCTGGGGCTTTGTCTTTCCTAAGAGCTAAGGGAAATTAGCTGGGATTTAAACTGTCCTCTGAGGAAATATCTCAAATTGTCTCAAAAATCGAGAGGTACAGGCTTATGCGTTTTATTAATGAACTGATCTTACATTTTACACATGTTATTTAACATATCTAAGATGTGGAAACAGAAATTTGCATTACCTTCTTAATCAATGGTTTGCTCAGGGCAAATGAATCAGAAATGAATTAAAATCGAAGCCACTCAAGGGTGGAACCCAAAAAACATACCATCTTACCTCAAATCTCAGTGATGTAATGTGGCAAGCCTTCTCTTCCTCAAAGCCCAGGTGCCTGGTGCCTCGGACTCCTGGGAGGACTGTCTGGTTTGAGTATGTGACCATACACTTGAAAACTAGTCCCTTATTAAACATGGTAACCCGAGGTTGACTGATATTTCGACCTAGCAGATGTTTTCAACCACTACCTCAGTACATACCAAACCCAAGTCAAGGGTTGCCGGTCCCCAGCGCTCCAGAGGCACCAACACGCCCCCACACAGGGCAGGTCGAGCCACCACTGACCTTCCTGTCAAACACCTCCGCAGAGAATAGGAGGCTCCGCCCCCACAGGTGCGGGAGCAGTCGCTCCAGTCGCCCCAGGCATCCCAGTTGCCATCTTTGTCTTCATCAGAGCGAGCGTTTCTTGAGGTCTAGATGTGAAACACACATAAGGCGTTACAGACACATGTGGTAGAAATATCCCATAGTTCCCCCAGTTTTTTCTAGATTCTTCTTCTAGATTGCTCTCAGAGACCAAAGTTGCCTAAAAATGCTTTGCTTTAGAATGGCTGCATTTTTAAAAAAATCACACAAGAAAGGTTTGTACAGAAGCTAGCTGGTACATGCAAGTCTTTCAACCTTAAGAAGCCTTTGTTCAGATGGTTTCTAAGCTCAGTTTGAAGTATGAAATTTTACCATTTCTAAATTTAAATAATTGCCTAAATATCAATCTATTGTTTTTCTAAATTTTATATATATATATATATATCTATATATTTTTTTTTTACATAGCAGGGTCCCACCTTGAACCTAAGAAGTGCTCCCCACTGAAATTCTGACTCGCCTGCCTGTCAGACAAACTAATGGTAACCCCCAAGGAATACTTCTGCATGAGGATTTCTGGAACTTTCCTAGAGAGAGGTTCCACCTCAAGAAAACAAAGTCAGATAGATGAGCATAGCTAAGTTATAAAGCTTAGGAGTCCAAGAAAATAGGGAAGGTCAATTTTGTGTATATTTGGTTTGTCTCTGGGACTTACCACCATTGACTTATGTCAGGATACTCTAGGGAAGCAAGAAGAAGAGGAGTTAGTTACAAGGGGAAAATATAGAGATAAGAAATGAAGCCTATTACTTAAATAAAGTTATAAAACTTTACTAGGAAAACTAAATCCAATGTGAATAAATGAAGAGACAACTACAGTCCTGAATGGGTAGACTCAATACTGTAAAGTGCTAATTCTCTCCAAATTAATCTATAAATTTGTAGCAACTCCAATCAAAATCCTAAGAGGGAAAGTTTTGGAAAAGCTTATCTATGGGATTATATATATATATATATATATATATATATATAAACAAAGCGGGGGGAAGAAAGATGGAATCACCAAATAACCAAGCAATCAATTCCATTTCCAGATGTCTATCTAAAAGAATTAAAATCAGGACTCCTAAAAGATACATGCAAAGCCATGTTTATTGTAATCATTGTTCACAATAGCAAAGAGGTGGAAGCAACCCAGGTATCCATCAGTAGATGAATGGATACACAAAGGGTGCTATATTCATATGTACAATGGAATATTATGGTGCCATAAAAGGGAAATCTTGTCACATGCTACAACATGGATGAACCTTGAGGACATTACACTAAGTGAAACAAGTCACAGAAGGCCAAATGCTGCATAATTTTACCTCCCTGAGTTTTCTAAAGTAGTCCACCTCACTGCAGCAGAAGGTAGAATGGCAAGCTTCAAGGGACTCAGGAGGGAGAAAGGAGGAGTTAGGTTTGCATGGTTATGAAGTTTCAGTCACACAAAATTAAACAGTTGTGGAGATCTGCTGCACAACATTGTGCTTGTAGTTAACAATGCACTTCAAAATTTCTTAAGAAATTAGGTCTCATGCTATGAGTTTTTTTTAACTGCAATTAAAAAGATTAAAATAAGGGCATGAGAAGAAACGGCCTCAATTAAAAGAGCATAGAACTGATGTAGCAATAAGCAATCTGAGCTATTAAAATTTAGTAAGAGTCCAAAAACAGACCCAAGAATAAGAGTAGAGTATAAGAACACAAAACCAATGTGACAAATGGATTCTTAAAAACCATAGATAGCTTCTTCATAAAATATACCAAAATTAATTCCAGACATAGTGGAAATTTATATTATAAATAGTAAAACCATAAAATTATAGATTAAGAGTCTTGTTGTTTTCTCTCTATTTTCTTGGAGTGGGAGAGCATCCAATATAGAGTTAGCATAAGAAAGACTGTCCTAGATATGTTAACAAAGGAAGAAACTATAAAGGGAAAGACTGATAGGTTTAATTACATTAAAATTTAAACACAAAGTATTTTCTATCTCTTCAACTTCAGAAGATGGTAGTGGTCTATGAATATACACTCTAAAAATCAAGTAGAAAATGTAACTATGTGGGCTACAAGGCCTCACATCAGATGGCCTCTAAGAATACTGGAGGTGGGATGAGGAGCCAATCTGCTGGGCAGAATCACAACTGAATGTCTCTTTTTCTCCTATTATCAAAAACCAGGCCTATAATCCCAGTAACTCAGGAGGCTGGAGAGGCAGAAGGATCACAAATTTGAGGCCAGCCTCAGCAACTTAGAAGGACCAAAGCAACTTATGACAAAATATGACAAAACGGTGAATTTGATAAAACCAGATGGTGCTATTTTGGATGCCAGCTAATTAATTTCTAATTGTTGTTTGAAATTTCTTTTTAAAACTATGTGTAATCCCAGCAATTGGGGAGGCTGAAGCAGGAGGATCCCTAGTTGGAGGACAGTCTCAATAATTTAGCCAGACCTTGTCTCAAAATAAAAAATAGAAAGGACTGGGGATGTGGCTCAGTGGTTAAGTATCCCTCAGTTCAACCTCCAGTATCAAATAAATAATAAAAATATGTGTTTAGGGCAAAACGAAATCACTAGATAAAAATAAATATATGCTGCATCTTTCTTTTGGAGGGGGGTGGTACAAAAAGAATTAAATGAGAGATCTGTAAAAAGGACCTTCAAAAATGAATTGAAGAAATCATGACTTGATACTTTACCTCTGAGCTACATCCCCAGTTTTGTTTATTTTTTAATTTGAAACAGGATCTCATTAAGTTACTGAGGGTGTTGCTAAATTGCTGAGTCTGGCCTCAAATTTTTGCCATCCTCCTGCCTCAGCCTCTGAGTCACTAGGACTATAGGAATGTACCACCATGCCTGGCCTATATCATTTTTAATTCAGGTGAACTTGTACATGCATAGAGAAAGGAGTGAAAATTTAAACAAAATGTTATGGGATCACCTCTAGGAGAGAGGGCTTTGAGCGAATTTTAACCTCTTTTATTTTGTTTTTGTTTCTGTTATTTTATGCAATCTTTTTAAAACAAAACACATAATACCTTAATTAAAACTAGTAAGCAAAGAAACAAACAAACAAAAAAACACATCCTACTGGTATACACGGAAAAGTTCAAGTCAACCAGAGTTTAACAGGTAGGTTCTAAGCTGGAGAAAGGCAACGTTTATAAAGGAAGCTGTGAGGCAAGTCATAAACGGCAGCATGTGACCCAACTAGATATTGCCCAGGTTTCCTTAAGCCCTTAGGCAAGTTACCTCATCCAACCAAAAAATAAAAATTAAATTAGAGGGATCTGTAGAGAGAACCTTCAAAACTGAAATGAAGAAATAATGACTGGGAGCAAAGAGGGCGTTTTCCAATAATTTTCACTCCGGTCTCACAGGTCCCCAGGTTTCATGGCTTCTTGCCAAGCTACCTATCCAGAGCACAGTGGGCAGTCCTACACGAGGCAGTATTTCAGGAACAGTCAAGGGAAAGGAAAGGATAAATATCTGGCGACTGATCAAATCTGTCATCGGGACCAGGGGCTAATTAAACCCATGCTATTTACTGTTCTAATTAGACCACTGTTCAGTTCAGTTTTCTACCCTTAAATGTCACCAAACATGACTGTGCTCTGCCTATAACATAATAGAGAACATAAAGTTTTAATTCATAAAAAATACAATAAGCAGTTTAATACATTCATCTGGACATTTAGGTGAGGTAAGTCCAAATCATTTAGGTAAATGTCTAAAATATACACAGCTGAAACTGATTTTTTGCCGCTCGATAGATGGATAGGTGGAATGTGAAAAGTTGAAAAACATCATCAAATATATTTTTAAGGGAAAGCTGACAGTTGGTTGCAATATCATTGTGTTTTTATTCCCACTATCCCATCGGTTCAGTTTATACTTAGAATCACGTTTATTTCCATGACTTCTCCACCTTTATTTACAAAAAAAATTCTTGATTCTAAAATAATTAAAATAGCTATGTTATAAAATACAAGCATTTGGTTTCTCTGATTGGATCAATTGGGTGCTCTCCCACTCCAAGAAAATGGAGAGAAAACAGCATCTCAAGAGGAGACTTCAAAGTTTTCTCATCTCCTTGGCCATGAAGATGGTTGGATTTTGCTTGGAAACCCCCATGCCACTCCCTGCAGGTCTTTTCTTGTATTTTTCTTTATCCACAGAGTGGCAATTAAGTCCCTGATTTCTACCTAGTTCTCTCTTCCCTTTGATCCTAGCAGCATAATTATAATAAGCATTCAAAAAAAAATAAGAAAAAAAATTAAAAACCTCTGCTGAAGCAGAATGAAGCACCACCAGAGTTGCTTCCTAAAACACACATGTGTGTGTGTGTGTGTGTGTTCCTTACAACAGAAAGAAATTGCTACCCTGGATCTTCCATTTCTCTAGAGTGATGGGCAGTGGGCTGTGAGCCTCCTCTGCAGCAGAATCCTTCTTGGAGCCTCCCAGATCTACTGCCTTCCACTTGCCTTGCTCTTTCATGACTGTGTTCAATCTCTGCACACATTTATATTTGCAAATTTTTGAGCCAAAAATGTAATGTCCAGGCCAGGCACAGTGGCCCACATCTGTAATCCCGGAGACAGGAGAGGCTGAAATAGGAGGATCACAAGTTTGAGGCCAGCCTCAGCAACTTAGTGAGGCCATAAGTAACTTAGTGAGATCCTGTCTCAAAATAAAAAATATAAAGGGCTGGGATGTGGCTTAGTGGTTAAGCACAGCTGGGTTCAATCCCTAATATGTATGTATGTATGTATGTATAAGTAAATAAATAAGTAAGCAAATAGAAATAAAAATGCAATGTCCAGAATACAACACTGCAGCTAAGAGAAACAGAGACCACACATTGTCTCTCTGGTCCATGTTTCTTTTCATGGAACCTAAGCCTTAGCTCCTCTTTCCTTCTCCCCTTCCTCCCTCTCTTCTCGCCTTCTTTCCTTCTTTCTTCATTCCTTTCTTTTTCAGCCACACTTTTTATTGGAATTCACTATGGAGGCAATATCACATAATGGTTAAAAGCTGTTTGAATCTGGACACA